CCTTAGATCACAAATGCAGCCGCACAACAGCCGCACAATGAGATTGAACTCTCTGGTTTTGGAATGGCTATTACCACTTAAATCTCAATAAGTCAAATTTTGAATTTGCAACAGCACAAAATCCAAAATTGCTGCAAAGGACCACCAAACGGATGAATTTGGTGGTGAAGAACAAATTGTCAGATCAAACGGATGATAAAAAAGATGCTGTGACCAATTCTAGATCGGGAAATCGCCGGAGTGAAAACCAATAAGCTTCTGCTGCGCAAAGAACAATAAAGAGTCCAATAATTTGGACAGAACAATCGGAAAGACCAATAGGCTTCTGGTCGCCGTGAAGCTTCTGCCGAACACACGATCACACACAAACACTCGATCGCCGAAGGGAAATTCACCGATGGGAAATTCACTGGCCACACACGATCACACACAAACACACGATCGACGGTGTGAGTCGATCGAGATCAGCACCGAAAAAAAACTATTTTGCCCAGGGTTTGGCTCCGATACCATGTAAAAATTTAGAGTAAAACTGATCTGATTTTATTAATCACAAGCAAGTGTATATATACAAGTACAAGCGGGCTTAGGGTTATAAGTTGGAAGTGGGCCCGATAAACTAATTACAGTCCAAAACTACAAATACCCGCTAACAGATTGATTAGAGACATTTACAACCGGAGGCAATGAAGGCGGTGGCGGCAACAGTGACTACCGTAGTGGGGGAGGAGCAGTTACGGGAGCAGGCGGAGGGGTAGTGGCGTTACCGCCGCAGCCGGGGGTTGGTGGAGGTGGTGAAGTGATGTTGTGGGGAGGAGGAGGAGGAGCAAATTTGGGTGCAGGTGGAGCAGCTACCGGAGGAGGCGGAGGGCTAGCGCCGTTTCCGCCGAATCCGGGGGTGGGTGGAGGTGGTGAGCTGGTGCTGTGGGGAGGAGGAGAAAATTTGGGTGGAGGAGCAGTTACCGGAGGAGGCGGAGGGGTAGTGGCGTTACTGCAGCAGCCGGGGACACAAGGCGGACAACAGAAAGGACAGTCATTAGCGGCTGTGATGGAGAAGAAGATGACGAGGAAAGGAGAGAGTTGGGTCCATTTTGATTTGGACGTATTTGCTGTTGTGTTGTTTTCTTGGTGCTTGCTTGTCCTTTCTATCATATGGATACACGTAATTAATTAAGGATTATGCATGAATGGATGTATTATACCCGGAGTTCGTAGTATATAGTGATTTTTGAAAATGTTACTCGGTATTTAGTAATTATGTGTTTTTTTCAAATTAGACTGTACAATTAATTAATTTTTGAGATGTTACTTGTTAATTGAGATGGTACACATAATTAAATAATTCTTGAGATGTTACTTGTTAATTGAGATTGTACACATAATTCCCAAAATGATGGACCAATATATGTATATTTTTCCATAATTTATGTATATTTATTTCGAAAATGGATCAATTTGAAAAAATATCTAGTTAGAAAGTACCATTTTAAAAAAGTAATACATACCCGGAGTATATAAAACTTAACGTCGTTTTAAAGCCGTTTTAACGGCTGTTAGTCGGAGGGATTGAACTGAGCATTATTCTTTACAGTGTTATATTAATGAGTACCATATCTGAAATTAGTTAATTGTGGGAACTAATTTAAAAAAAGATATACTCCATAGTTATTAAGTGTCATTTTAGGAATTTACTCTATACTATATTTATTTAAGGCATAATACTAAATTGAGAATAATTGGAGTTTAAAGGTTGTCATGTTTGACTCAAAAAAGTCAAACTGGACAAATTTACTAGGACGGAGTTAGTATAACTTTTATTTAACGAATGGTTAAAGTTTATCGATTTTAACTATAAAAAGTACGTCAAACCTAACAAATACTGTGAGGTGAAGGTCGTATATATTCTATTTTTAAATTTAACACCTACGATCAAATAAATTAATTAAAAATAAGTTCAATAAACCATCATAAAGTTCCTTTTTTAACCACCCTAAAAAATATTTTCTAAATCCATCAGAATAAGCTATTTATCACGATCCATTACGACTATTAATTAAATCTACCCAGGAGATCATACGTACGATTTATTATTAATCTACCAATTAAATTTATATTTCTATTTTAAAAAGTAATGACAATATGAGAAAGTCAACAATAAAATACACTTCTCCTAAATTTGAAAAATAAAAGTCAATAGAAAAAAAGTTTTAAGAGAGTACGTATATTTATGTTGTTCTTATTTAGGGAGTACAATTAAATTGCTCAAAATAATAATAATAATAGTTTCACAGACGTATGAACGATAATTATTTTGTCCTTAACATATACTCTCTTCGTCCGGAAATATTCTTCCCATTGTCCTTTTTAGTCCGTCCGGAAATATTCTTCACATTTCCTTTTTTAGTATGCTTTTTAAGGCTAAATATCAATTATACCCTTCTATTTATCACAAATCTACTTTTTTAATACTTTTTTAATAATAAAAGGATATTTAAAAGTGTATGGTAAGTGCATTTTTGAAAATTTTACATTTTTTTAACTATTCCTTAATAAGCGTGCCAAGTCAACACGGGAAGAAAATTTCCGGACGGAGGGAGTATGTTGTCCATCCAGGATACAGTCGAAGCTGGTGAGGGTCCAAAACTATTTTAGACTACATTTTTTCATTAGCCTTTCTACTCTTCAATATATGATCATGTTGTCTTGCTTCGGAATTTTCAGTTTGGGTTTATATATTGCTACAGTATATTCACAATATTATTTTTAAATCGGAATAAATGTAGCTGATCAATAGTTCAATACCCAACCCCTGGGACTGCAATTATAAAAGTAAGTTATGGCGGCCATCAATAAAGTTGTAATATTACATTTTGCACTATTTAATTATGTGAAATTTGCACTAGATAGTATGGAGTACGTATATATAAGCATATTCCTCTTTAATTATACAAGAGACAGTATTTCGACTCTTTTCTCTCTAACAAAAAAGTGTAAATTTTTTTTATGGAAATCCATATAAAGAAAATGCGAAGTTCTTTGTGCGGCTTTCAAAAAAAATCTTTTTTTCAGACGATATGTATAGTATGTCTGTATAAGGTGGAGAATAGAATAAAATTGTTAAGGGATATATAGACAAAGAATACCGCAACAAGTTCAGGTTAACTGGCCTTGAGCCTTTTCCGGTTTTACATCACTAACAATTACAGGTGGTCTCTACAGTCTTACACTATCAAGTTCGTGTTCAGATTTTCCTCAAAACAAAAAAAAGATTGAGTTCAGATCTAATCAACTACTTGCGACCACACCTGTACAGATTATGCCGCATGAGTAACTTTCATTTCATAGTGCATGTTGAGAAGCTCCATCAATCTAATTGAGTCTTGGCCTCCGCCATGTCTTTCTGCGCCTTCTTCCTCCTATAGAAGATCGGGCAATCTCGACTGCAGTGAAAAATTTACCGTTTAGAGTCAAAGTCTTCTAACAATTGAGATATAAAGGTGGGAAGATCTTGCAAACAAAGTATATGACTCCAGTTCATCCAAAATAATAACTATATATAACTAAGACTTCGAAAAAAACAAACCTAGTGCAAAGCACATCCTGGTGAAGGGAGCCTTGACACTCTTGGCACTGCGTCCACAACCGCCCAAAAAGCTTCTCCAGTTCAGCAACTACAAATGGGTCAATTAATAAAAAGTAAAATAACCGTTAACAGCATTTCTGTCCATCTAGCGGTTCAGATGGAGAAAAACATACAAACTGAATAGCTCTTCCATACCATTTGCAACTGATTGACAATAAAGTTCAGCTTCCCTTCCCTTGCAGTGTTTGCAGAGAGTTCTATCAGATTCACTGGTTGAATGCACAAGAACAATTAGTTAACTCAATGGCCTATAGCATGTGGGAATGGATGCTATGAACATAAAAGTAAATCCAAAAGGACTGATGTATACACTTAACAAAATATCAGACTTCTCTATCAAATATACTAATATAGATTATTGTGGTTCATGCACAAGCATTACTACAGTAGTGATTGCTCTCGTATGTGTATGTCTTCTTGTGTATTAGACCCATTTTTCCATGCCGGTGGTTTAGGGATGTGGAAAATAAAGGACATGAGAGGTGAAATAATTATTATCTTCATGCATCCTAAAATTCATTGGTAGTAGTATATATAAACACATGTGACTCTTCTTTTCCTGATGTGGACCCCAGTGTGACCTAAGACTCCTGAGCTTCTTGATATACCAAGAATATTCGGTCATGCACAAGATTTCTAAGCTTTTTGATATGACTGGAACATTCTATGTCTAATTACTCAACACTCCTCAAGTTGGAGTGTGCACCTCATAAGCTCCCCCCCCCCCC